TCTTAGAAAAAATGTTATTTGATTTTAGAAAAAATATTACTTTTATTTGGAAATCTACAAATTCCATTAAGAAGGCCAAAGTTTAATATGCAGCGACGGGGCTCTTTGACTGGTGCGCTGGTCTTCTCCAACCACACTCTACTTCTTTTATGGGCACTCATCTGAATTGTTGCTTAACCCATGCAGTGACCCTGCCACATGCTATCTGCACCCTTCTACCCCGGATGCACCGCAACACTATTCCCCTTGTGGGCAAGAGTTTTGCTGTGCATCAACCCCAGCCACACACTTGTAAAGGGGAACTCCATGGATCTCGTGTGAGGGCAGAGAAAAAAAAAAAAAGGCAGCACCAGTGCTTACTCATCTGTTAAAAACGGTGTGATCTGCAAAGTTTGTACGAGAGGGTTTTTGACGGTGCCCTGCTGCTTTGTCAGTGCAGCACATGCTGCAGGCACTGGCATCCCCTATTGCCTTCCAGGTCATTGGCCAGGCTCAGCAGGGGGTGGGCTTCTAGCCCCATGAATCGTCCCTGATTCACAGCTGGATCCGCAACAAGGTATCATAGCAAATGAGTCGGTAAAACATCACTGGTTTGAAGAGCATGAAAAATTGTCATGATATCATTTGGAATTCCTGATTTAGGCTGCTGTTAGTGAAGAGAGACAGAAAATGAGAAGGAAAAGGCAGAGTAATGAAGGGTTATGTTATTCCTCTTTGCCATTTGCTCCAATCTCTGCTTCCTCCTGTCGCAACGCTACAGCCTGACCCCAAACCAATGCCTGAAAGAGGAAGTCAAGGAGGTAGCTGGGTCTAAACTAATGTAAAGAGGCAATAATTAAGCATCTCATGATTCTCAACCAAGTGGCCTATAGGTGTTACCCTTATAACATGAGTTCTTTATGACACACTGTCCAATTCTTAAATGTAGTTTTTGCTCTTCACTGCACATGACTCTGGAGCAGTCATGAAATGTCAGATTGGGTTCATCTCGGAGCACTGGGGTGATGATGAGGATATTTGGAAAGGTTGTCTGGGTTAAATTAGTAGGAGTTTGTCACATGTCAGCACGGCTTGGAAATATGGCTGCCACTGAGGCTGTGATTTTCATCGTTCTGCACATTTATTCAGTTGTTTATGGTCAGATTTCTGTTACTATAAATGTATATAAATGAATGAACAAAACAATCTGAAAAATTATATTAAGATAAAATCTCTTCTTGGTAAAAGTGTATTTTTTTTACTGCATTCATATAGTCCTGTTAAAAAGGGTGTAAAGAGGATGACATGAAGTAATGATAGCACAATGAACAGAGTATAATGCATAGATGCATGGTTTTACACTTCATTTACGAGGAGAAGTCTGGATTGTGGTGCACCTTTGTATTCATCATCATTTACTCTAATACTCATAAATAAATAAAAAATAAACGGCTGTCTACAGAGAAACCAATGAATAAGTAAATATCATTTACTTTGTCATTTGTTATTATGAAAATAGGTCATCTATGAAGCCTCAGAGGATTTTCATAAGCATTACTTGAACAAAATATTTATTAAAGCCATCCATCAGCATAGAGGAAGCTGAGTTGAAGTTGTTACTCCTATCTGAAGCTGTATATATTTCATAAGGCTCTGTATAATCAGAGGGAAATAATAAAAAATAGTAGAGTGCTAAAAAAGCTGTCACGACATATCTGTCTTGGTAGGTTTTTAGTGACAGCAAAAGCATTAATTACAAAAACAGCTATGGGAGGCACAGGATTAGATTGGAGGAAAAACACAGATCCCCACCTCAGTCTGTCAGCAACTATTAGTTAAAAGTCCATCCATCCATCCATCCATCCATCCATCCATCCATCCATCCATCCATCCATCCATCCATCCATCCATCCATCCATCCATCCATCCATCCATCCATCCATCCATCCATCCATCGCGTGGTGGGGGACTGTTTTCTTTCGAATGGGCATGGAAGCTGGTAACAGGTGGATGGAGATAAATAAAGAGAAGAAAAGGAAGACATGAAACCAGAGGCCAGGCTTAAAGTCAAGCTTTATGGACAAAGAACTTAAACATACAGTAAGAGCTATGATGGAAAAGTTTATTTTTAAGTATACTTAGTAGTTTACGTATGTCCCAGTCAAAGTGTCTCATTTTTGTAATTTTGTGCTATAATTTAGTAGATATTGGACTTTTCGAAACTCTTCCAAGAATCTACAGATGAGACTAAAGTTTTTATTAACTATTCAATAGAAATTAATTTTTACATTTTGCATACAATTGTTTCTTGCAATGTCATCAAAAATATCAAATGTGTATGATGCAATAAATCCATCCCCTATGATCTTTGATCTTTTCATGTTCAGACGACACTTGGCAGTGAGGTTATAGTTGGGTTTGATGGAGGCAAAGAATGGACAAACATCAGCTCCCTCTAAAATCACAATGGAGACCTTGGATCTAAATGTCATGGTTTCATAACGGATACACTGACATTTGTCTGATGGGATTTAGCCATGGGTTAATATAGCCATTGCTGGCACACTGCATTGATGTCCATCTCACTTTGGCTGTGAAGTCTATCTCACCATTTTTTTTTTTTTTTGGTGCCCTCACAGAGGTTCCGTTCAAAGGGCTGAATTGGCTTATGTGCCGGTTTTAAACCAATTATTTTATCAGGAAAAAAAAGCCCGTTTGATATGTAGGTTTGTTTTATATGATGTTAATGTGCCTCAGGAGCTGTTCAGATCACTTTTTTTTTGGCGGGCGGGGGAGGTGGATAGGGGGCTGCTGGGGGGGAAGAGGCAGGCGATCAGCATCAAAATCAGAGCCATGTAAATCTAATCAATTATACAGTTTTTTCAGATAAAATGTTGGTAAATCAAAACACATTTTCCAAAAGTCACAGTATAATGAGAAATTTAAATTGGAAACAGAAACCATTTGTTTATTATAAATGCCAGGGTGAGGTGGTGTCTTGCCATCCATAAATTTTGTTATCCTTTCATATTCTTTTTATCTCTGACTACAGCTTTGGCACTCGTTCAAGATTTTAATGAACCCAGACTTCTGAGGCATCAAGGCCTAGTGATGCATTGTACATTTGAATGGGGGGACTACAGAGGGGGGCAAAGGCAAAAAGCTTAGCCTTTTGACATAATATTTTATATTCTCTTGCCTTTTGGGGGGTCATTAGGTGATAGCGATGTTAAACAACATAACAGACTGACAAAAATAAACATGCATTCAGCATAAATCTTAAATTATCTTCCAGTCTGATGAGCCTGGAAGCAGGTCCGTGTGTACGTGCATTTGTCTAGGGTTGACTCGGATCAAAAAATAATTTTCTGTGCTTCATGAGGACACAGAGAACCCCCCGCTCTGGCGCGACCTGGTGTCGGCTGCTTTTCTCGGGCTCAGAGGTTCCTAGGGGAGACCAGAATGGAAGTTGAGCATCTTGCTGTGATCCAAAGAAAGTGTGCCAAATGCTATCAAAACTGGATTAGTGGACAACAATTGTGTTCAATGAACAGAAGGGGGAGAGAAAGAAGTAGTTTCCAAGTAACCCTTGGATGGAATTTTCCTATATTTTCTTTCTCTCCTGCAAGAATCAATTTCGACCCTTTCTCACTTTATATAGATGTGCAAATATCCTGATGACAGCATGATTTCCTTTACATTCTGTGAAACACGTAATCTGCACAATGTATATCTTTTGTTTTAATCTATAATGACTTAAGGAAATTTAAATGCATTAGAAAATATTTTTTTTAGATTTTAAAACAGCTGAATTATAAATTCGTATGATAACATAGACATAGACAATACCCTATTGCCAAAACGCTGCTGCACACTGGCTGACTAGATGGCTGAAAGATGGCCTCTGCCTTTTCCCCTTCCGTAAAGTCTTTATATTTTAAATATATATTTGCGTTATACTTTGCATTATACCTATTATTAACATTAAGCAGACACTCTTAAAAACTATTGGCTAGGTACAAGCAGAATGTATAAAAGAAACAAGAGATGAAGAGAAGAAGAGATGATTCAACTCACTAATCATCCAAATCATGTAGTGCGTAGTTTTGTCATTTTAAAAGTAAAACCAGAAAAAAAAAAAATTTATTTATTTATTTTATATATATATATATATATATATATATATATATATATATATATATATATATATATATATATATATATATATATATATATATATATATATATATATATATATATATATATATATATATATATATATATATCTTTGGTGTACCGATTGACACTAACTGTATAATCTGTCAGTGGGGACATCCTTCCGAATTACTGTTCTTTTTTTTTAATTACTCACATCTGTGACTAATCAAAATGGTTTCCTTGTTTTTTCTATAACATTTCCTTTTTTTCCATCTGTTTCAATATACATTAGGCAACAGTGATTGAACAAAAGTCACATTTAAACTGCATCTACTTTAACTATCATAAAATAGCAAAACACAGAAAAAATTAATGATGCTGTACAGTATGTCAAGCAAATGTCACCACATGTTATTGAATCAGGCCACAGAAACTGCCCTTGAACTCTGATATTTGAAGTCTGTCCCCTCTAAACCTTATCATGGGAAATCCTGGGTGTCATTTGTCCACAGCACCAGGACCTGCCTGATGGTGGTGGTAGTAATTTACCACTGCTGTGAAAAATATCTCCTGTGGTGAGTTGCCATATCTGTAATTCTCTCTCTGAGTTTTTTTTTTTTTATCCATTTCTTTTGTGATGTTAAAATAGAATGAAACCTATTAAAAAGAAAGATGGGATACATTAGACTATAACTTTATAAAATATTTTCACTGTATTTATTACACAACAAAACCATTATAGGTCTCTCCTCTCAAAGTCTCACAAGCTCCCCACATCCCTGTTTATTTCACCATGTGCTTGCAGCCTAAGCCCCACCAGTCCTGATATTCTGACCAATTACATGACTGAAGCAGCACGTGGGAGAACCTTCGGAAGCCAATCGCTGCATTTTGTGTGATACGTCACAGGAAAAACATGGCGGCGCACATTGTCAGAGCTGTGAGACGTCCTGCTTCGCTGTAAGTCTGTTTCTAAACGTTTACAGCCCTCTCTTTATGCTTTGCTGCGTGTAGGAAACATTACCTTAAAAAACATTTCTGTCTGTTATTCTTAGACTGTAGTTTGATTTATATGTCGGCTAATTAAAAGTGTACTGAAGGGTTGAGCTTAAATAAACAATGACTTGAAAGGTTTTGTAGGAAACGTTGGTTCATATGAAATGTCACGTGATATGTTTGCTACCAACTATTTAGGATCTTATTTTTCCTATCTTTATTGACTTTCTGAGGACCAACTGGTGTGGATTCACTTAAGATTAAGGTTAGGTTAGGCTAGGGTTAAGCATAAATACAATTGCTGTATTATGTTTCAGTTAATATACATTTTTAATATGGATTGAGAAATAAGTTGTATGTGTGTGTGTGTGTCAAATTGAAATAATATCAACATTTCTAAAAAAACAAACAAAAAACAAATGCGTTACATGGAGTAAAGGGTCAAATATGTTGCCATGGTAACAATTAACGTTGAATAAACGAGTAGTAATATAAATGTCCTCATTTTGAGACTTCATTAGAAATAATTATATTTTATTGAATAGAATATGTATGACAAAACACTATGTGTGCAAAATTATACCTTTTTTGAATTTATGTTTATATCGCATAATCCTTCATCTGAAATGTTTATAAACATAAATAACGTAAAAGTGAGACTTGACCTTTGTAGGAGTAAATGTGTAAGATTACAGTGCATCCGGTTATTGACTTGCAAGATGTGTTCCTACTGGAGGAGCCTGCAAAACAATGAAATTTCACGAGATTTTGAAAGTAAAATAGATCGATACCGTGTTTTTAAAAATCAATTTGATATCAGCATATGAAAATATATTTGAGTGTATCAGAAATGGATAACAAAGCTGCTATTTTCAATGACTACTTATTTTTGTCCAGCTTTAACATCGGTATCAATATCGGTTATCGGCTACACGAGTTTTAAAATATCGGCATATCGGATATCGGCCAAAATCCCAATATCGTGCATCCCTAATTTTATTCTATTTATTTTACTGCTGTCATGCAGCAATACAGTTACAATGATCCAGTGACTCAAATTTTATGATTGCAGCACTGATTACATCATCACACCGAGCACTCACTGAAACTGATGATTTATATCGACAGTATGTTAAGTTGTTACCTTTTTTTTTTTACAAACGTTTATGCCAGGCATGATGCCTTTAGCCACATGGCAAGGTATACGGTTTAATTAATTTATCCTACCGTAGTGTTGGATGCGCTCAACCCATGTGTTGGTATTGGATTGTATCAGAAAAAAACATGATGGGTCTATTTCTACCTGTGCCACAGAATTAGAGGATTGGTTTATGCCGAACCTTTACTTGAACATTTTAAACTTAAACAATTGATCTGATCATGTAATTCAGATTGGAGCAAACTGACATGAATGTGTAGAGAAAGAGGCAGGAGTTCTGGTCTGCGTAAAACCGTTTTCCCGTGCTGTTATGTAGGAACAGCAACAGCATCAGTGGCTAAACCGTAGCCTATTAGAAAACATTTGCAGAACAATCAGAACCCTGTTGCAAAGTGGTGAGTGGTGGCCTAGTGGAATCCTGAGTTTTTGAGTACGAAACCCACTCCCACAGACTGCCACTCTGGTTCCCTGAGCAAAGACCCTTAACCCTACACTGCTCCACGGGGTCGCAAATGGCAGCCCACTGCTCTCCAAGGGGATGGGTTAAATGCAGAGAGTGAATTTCGTTACGCTGTACTTGTGACTGTGTAATGACAATAAAAAACTGGGAAAAGTAGAGCACTTCTTTCCAGTTTGTTTGAGGGATGCATGACATCTATGCATGTTTGAGAGCTTCTATTCTAAAGCCCATATAAAGTTGTAGTCTTTTTCCCCCCCCCCCCAACACATTTCAGTCTGATCAAGGAATTTCTTGCATGTGAACATAGCTATTGTGACATGTGGGTCTAATTGAGGCTGCACAAATTCCCAGAGGCAACACGCTGACTGTCCTGCTAAATGAATATGTGAAGTGACTTTCACAACAGTCTCTTAGATCTATCTTTGACTGTTGCTCTGTTTAACCTGAAGAGGTTGCAAATAGCATTATTCTATTAAGTATCTCATTTTTAACTCGTTTTTATTCTTTCTAAAAGTATATGAAATTAAGGTAAACGAACCTTCCTGGACATTTTTATTAACAGACATCAATTACAGCTTGCCGTTAATCAGAAACTTTTACAAAGCATCATTTTGACGTGTATTTTTAAGACCCGGTGGTTCAGTGATTAAATGCAGCCTTCTCAGAAGGAATGCCCGTGCTTGTTTTATGGACAGCCTAGAGCTCTCGTAGCAGCGTTGGCGGCAGACTGCTCTTTGTCACAAACACCCTCATGTCAAAGATGCAACAGCATCCTGGAGGAAGCATTGGCTGCCACTATGAGGTCGACAAGTGATGAAAGTAGCCTAGAGGTTGTCAATTAAGAGAGCCAAGGCCTGGACCTCATAAGTTAATGGGCAGTTTCCCCTCACAGGGCCTGCGAGGGCTTTATAGCATAGCCTATAAAAAGCCTAAGTGTAATGCACCCCTATAACGTTTTCAATTAAGAGAAGGGGCATAAAGCAGTGCAGACACTTGGCATTCATGCTACAATGGTAACGCATAGGCTTTGGGTTTACACTGGTGGGGGAAATTTGGATTGCCCGGTTTGTTATAGGTGGCAGCTACTGAGCAGGATTTTATGCTGATGGCATTTCATGCTGACTGGAAGCATTATAGACTTTCTGGTGTCTTTTTATCAAAATTTTTTTGGCTTTGTCAAATAGATGCTCAGCTTGAAGTTTAAAAGCTATCTCCTCTCCGGGGATACATTTTGGGATATATATTTTTTGTGTCATACCATAGTTGAAAAGTCATTAAATCTGCATCAGTAAGTTTATGGTTACCATTTGTATGTATAGGTACAATAAAGAAAATTAGCTCTGCATATTTGGCTAATTTAACAATGTTAACTCCTGTAGATGTAAACGCTTAGCCAAACTCCCCTTTACCCATCTGGCAGTCCGCTTTTCTTGGCTTCCGGTAGAAAAATAAATGAGTGTTGAATAAACACCAGAGTGTTGACACCTCATTTCCTCATTGATTGGTGGTGGAAGCTGAGCTTAAGGTGTGTGGCCATAATCCAATCAGGCAAGAAAACAACCACTGGGACTTTGTAACCAAATAATGCACATACTGGGAGGGTTGGGCAGGTTGGCCCGAGTAACTTTAACCCTTATGTCTTCTTGACTTTCCTATAGTTTATCTATTTCTAAACTGTTTGTGCAGCTTGGAAGATGTTCCAGTGTTTGTTTTCTTTCTTGGTAATAAACCTTCCTGGCTGTGTTTTGTTTCTCTTTTAAAGTTAAAATGATTATGAGCTAACAAATCAATAAATTGCCCTATTACCTGCCGTCCACCCTGCTAAGCTTGCCTTTGAAATTCATTGCAGAGCATTAAGTTAACACATGTTGCTATGCGAAAACAAAGTCCTGGCGATTGGCGTGGAAACCAGCTGAGTAAACAGGGTTGAGACATCAAGACAGAGAGGCCTACACTTGTCCCAGCCCCGACCAAGGTGGATACATGAGGCCAGCAGATGGATATGGTAACCTGTATCCCACAGAAGAAGAAAGGGAAGAAAAACAACTGAAAACGAGTGCTTCTCCTCGAGCTCTAACGCCTTTGATCAACAGCACATCTTCAGGGGCCGCAGCGTAGGACTTCTTACGACCCCAGAGAGCACATGGAGCTGCATCTGTATAAACACGGCGAGGGAGGAATGTGTGAACAATTGCAACAAAAGAATTTTGATCTCGAAACATGGGGCGGACTTGGCTAACGGGTGGTTTATGTGGTTAAGGATTTGAACGTGGGGGTTGGATCAGATGAGGAGCTGAAGAAACAGTTTCTGTTTTTAATGGCAACAGAAGTTGGAGAGCAATGTTTTTGCTTATAGATTTGAGCCAGTATGAGTGTTACGATTATGTTGTCCCTTCTACGGAATTACGTTTTTATCGCACGGTTAGAATTGAGTTAGAAAGCGTTTTTAAGTATTAATGTGACCAATTTATTGTCACATTAGTGATCATGTTTCTGATTCTGGCCTCTCAGCGGCCACGTATTTGTTTGAGTATTCTGACAGACATGTATTGTTCTTATTACCATGTGTATGCTGGGTAGTTTAAAGACGATGAGGTGTACTTTACACAGAATTTCCTGTCTGATACACAGAACACTAATGAGAGGCCTTTTTTATAGCTGAGTATTTAACCGAGCTCTGTGGGGGATTTATGTTCATGTGTGGCTTTTTAATGTATGCTTTTTTTTTTTTTGTTGCTCCCTTTGCTATTATATCTTAAGCATGTTAAATGTTTGTGTGTGGGTGTATGTTTTCCCTGTTATTTCTAATGCAATTATCTAAGGCTGCAGTTCTTATTTGAACCCCTTGGTGTCGGTGTTGTCAGTAAGCCTTAGGAAGATGAGTAGTTAGGGGGTTTATTTTTTTTCTTTTTCCTAAAGCTTCAATCAGTATTTATAGTAATAGGTGGAGGATATCAAAGTATTTAACATTTTAACTGTTGTTTAGAACAAATTTCTTTTTAATATGAGAAATATTTTGTGACTAAGAGATCAAGAAATGTCAGCAACGAATGATCTTAATACTGGAACTTAAAGCTGGAGGAGTAAATAAACCCTTTATCCAGATCCAGTGAAATAAGGAAAATGAGTCCATAATGTTTTAATGATATTTATACTTTAATTAATCAGATGTTTTTCTTTTTTTAAGTATTGGATTACATACTACTACTATACTAGAAATACTACACATCAACTGATGCAGGTTTTTCTTTTTTAGGCTGATGCAAATACAGATTATTTCAACATCAGTCTAACTGTTATGTGCTGCTGATTGTTTTTAGATCGATTCTTTATTGCTTTCTCTTT